CGGAGCGGTGATCAGGGCGCTTGATATGTCCCTTCCCATAGATTACCGGTACGATATATTTATTAACTTCTATTGCTAATAAATATATTTTATTAAAACCAACGGAGTTAGTATGTTCTTTTTTTTTTTATAATATAATGTATTTTACATCATTTAGTAAAGGCAAGAGACTTTTTAGTTTTTAAATTATATCTATTTAAATAATTTATTATTAATTTTAGCTTAGTAACGTTAGAACAACTAAATATTAAACCATCTAAATCTTTATTATACTTTATATTTTTATATTTATCATTTACTAATAATTCACTAATAATGTATAAAATATAAAATTCTTTTTGTGCAATATAAAAAGTTAAGTAAGGAGTCTTATAAGTATCATGTAAAGGGTTACTATCTTTTAATCTACCAGTAAAAGAACCTACAGCATCAATAAACCCACTTAATCAACCAGTATTTAAACTTGGTTTTACTAATCTATCTATAAACAAGATATTATCAGAATATTGATAATTAAATACTTTTAATCAAGTCTTAAATTGTTTTTTTTTATTTAATGTACAGAAATTTCCATTAAATAAGGTTATTAATCTATAAAAATTATCCTTAGATGTAACATAAAATGTTCCTTTTACAGGAATAGAATCTTTTTTTGTTATTAAAACTTTACCAAACCCAAGTTGTTTTTTTATATAGTAAAGAACTTGGATATTATCTATATTTAAACTAATATCAAAATATACTTTATTTTTTAATACTACAAAAGAACCAGTTCCTTCAGTAAAACCAATAAATCATTCTAAGAATCTTTTATTTAGTTTTTTCTTGTGAAGAACTTTTTGGCTTAAATAACTATTAAAACCGAAAGTTATATCGCGTGCAGTCTCTGAGGTACCATTATTTACGATTAATAACGTTACCTGCTGATTAACTCTTATTGACTTAAGCTCACCTAAGACAATACACAAGATTTTATTATACATCTTACAACGCAGTGCGAAGATATGTATAAACTTGATATAAAGTTTTCCCAGCAAATAGCAATATCATAATTGATTGATTCACATCAACCAACGGCAAACCCCTACGTAATTAAATAATAACTTGTAAAATAATATAAACATTAAAACTTTCTGTATGTATTCATACTGTATGCCAAATCTTTTAACTGATCCAAACCCTGTTGAGTTAGATGTCCTTTGTTTTCTATAATAGAGATACCCTTACAAAAAGACTGAAAATCTAAATATTTCGCACCATATATACGGTACTTTTCAAAAAAAGGGATAACTATTCTAGCTATATCCTTAATGTTTGCAACCGAAATATCATATCTATCTCTACCAGAAGAAGGTTTCACTATGTTTCCGCAACCCATAGTACTAATTATTCTATTTAACACCATCAAATTTCGCTCGTGCTGAGTTACACGGAATTGAGGTTGGCAAGTAAAACCCAATTTCATCCTTACCTGTTTAATAAAGTTTAAACCAAATGTTCCATCTGCCTGTACAAAACCAGCTACCCAATGGGGATTTAATAGATTTGTTTTAGGTAAGAATTCAGGTTTATTTATAGGTACTACATTGGGGTGTACTTTTAAAACATTATCCGACAACCCTTTAGGAAAGACAGCTTTTATTGCAAGAATTTTTAGGAATCCTTCATGTGTGTAATGTACTTTCTTTAGAAGAAGATCAATTATTTCACATCATAATAGAAAATGTATAGACTTACTAGTTTCAAGTGGGTACTTCTCAAAATGTTTTCTAATAACTTGAAGAGAATTAAAGGAAGTGACTTCGTATGTATACATATTACCACTAGCACTAATTCAACCTATTCCCCAAAAGAATTCTTTTACTTTTTCTAATAATATCTTATTATAAGGGTTAATCTGTGCTTCTATAGAAAATACAGGCAATATTTTATATCCTCATTTTGAATCAATAGATTTTCTAAGACGTATTGAAAAACTTGATTCCCCATCTGAGTATACAGTAACGAAATAAGGATCTAATGATTTATTTATACTACTTACATTTATATTATTATCTTTCGTAGTGCATACCATGGTGGCAGCATGTATTAAAGCGCTAACGGGTGTAGGACCTTCCATTGCAAGAGGCAACCAAACGTGAAGCAAAAAAATTTGGACTATATCTTTAAATAATAATATATACTATTTACTTTGAGTGTCTAGATTAAAAAGTAGGCTCCACAGTCAAATATAAGAAATATCTTGCTTAGCTTGCAGATCAGATCCGCAAAAGTACGATAAATATTCGAACGCCTCTTTGCATAGATATCATTATTTCTTTTTAACCCAGGAGTTTAAAACTCAGTCTCTGAGGATCTTTTAAAGTAAATTAACCACGACGTAATTCTTCGGTCTCCCTCCCCTGTTTACACAACTTTTGTCATAAAAAAAAATCAAGTAACGTAGCGAGGCTTCGCCACTTCGCCAGGATAGAGGGAGGAGCGAAGCAAGGCAGAAAAATAAAGATGCAAAGCTTTGCATCTTTTAAATTTTGTTTAAGAGATTTTTCTTAAGGAGTTTATCAAACTGGCACTTTTTTTTAATTGTTTATAATCTAAAGGTTCTAAAGATGATTTGTTTTTGCGAATATTATATATTTCCATTCATTTTTCGAAAGATTTAGCTTTTATTGAATATAATTTATGATTATTTAAATACTCAATCAGGGTATCTAATTTTAAATAATTTATAACAATACGATCATGCTGTTTTAGCTTTTCAGTGTACCCTTGAATTAATTTACTTAAATATAAAAATTCTAATTCGGCATCCTTTTGCCCTAAAACAAAACGTTGAATAATTTTTGTTTTACAAACTGAAACTAAAAAACTGCCCTCCGCATCGATAAATCCCGCTAATCAATTATCATTTAAAGATGGATTAAATTGATTTGATTTAATCTCAATATTGAATTTATTTTTCTTATTGAAGTTAAAAACTCAATTTTCAAATTGGATTTGTCGTTTGCGTAAAAAAATATTACCATTAAAGATTTCTATTAAAGTGTTAATATCTTTTTTGGCTTTTACTATAAAAATAGCGGAATTTTTATTTAAATATATATTTCCCATATTTAATTGAACTTGTATTTCATATAATAATGGTAAATCCGCTAGATGTAAATGAATAGAAAAAACAGTTTTACCTTTTGAAACTACAAATGATCCATCTCCTTCAGAAAAACCTATAAATCATTCTAAGAATTTATGGTTAAATTGATTTAAAAACTGCCATTTGGGGGAATCGGCTAATTTATTTATTTCCTGCTGATAAATTCCTTGTCTTTGAAATTTTACCGGATTAGTTAAGTGTACTAGACCAACGGATTCTAAAGCATTTGAAATATTCCCAGCAAATATCAAAGTTCAAAAAAAACCTGAATCACATCATAGTTTTTTTAGGGCCTTCACTAGACCAAATTGGCTACTTTTAGCCATAGCACCAATTAATAAACAAATACCTATTATAGTTATAATATTTTCACTTATAAAGGGAGCTAATGAAAATACAGTAGCATAATCTATATTACCAAAAGATCATAAAATTCCAAACATCCCTATAGTTAAAAAACAATCACCTACTCTATTAGTTAATAATGCAGAAATTGAACTCTGGTTAGCTGCTATTCTAGTGTATCAGAAATTAACTAAAAGATAAGAACAAATTCCAACTCCCTCTCACAGGTTTGTTATCAGTAATTATCGGTTATATAACGAAGTTGTGTATATTTACATATACTGGATTTATTCTACTGATCTATACCTAATTTATATAACAACTCTGGTATAAAAAAAGGGCTCACCAATGTTGTTAATTTATCCATACTTTTTTTTCTTACTCTAATTCTTCAACCTACTGTACCAGTGGTTGAAATACGTTTATTTAAAGTAGCTTGTATTCCAAACTTTTTATCTAAAGCAGCTATTAAAACTTCTAGCTCCTTTTTGGTGAAACTTTCTTTCCTCTATTCATACTTGATTTTATTGCTCGAATTTGCTCTAATCCTTCTTCCGTCAAATGTGCTTTATTTTTTATTAATTCAATAACTTTAACAAAATTAAAATAATTTAAAAGTTTTTCCCCTTGTAGAGGGTATTTCTGTAAGAACGGAAGGACTTTACCCGTCAAATCTGTAAACTTAATAACATTAAAATCTACAACAGTCCGCCCTGATATTTCAGTTACATTACCACAATTTAAAAATTTGATTAAACTTTGCATTAGTGCAATATCTCGATAATGTTGAGCAATTGAAAATCTTAATTTTACAGCCTGCCCTAATTTGGCTGTTTTAGACTTAAAAATCTGTACATAAAAACAACCTTCAGCATCCACGAATCCCACGAATCAATTTGGATTAATGTTTTCTGCCAGTTTTACTTCAGGTCTTGAAACAGGTATTATATCAGGGAAAGCGGCTTTTAAGCCCTCAGATAAACCTAAATTAATTGAGGCTTTAAGATTTATAATTTGTTGTAAACCATCTGGAGTAAGATGCTCTTTACGATTCACGATCTTCACAACTTGTTTAAACAACTCATAATCTGCTTGTTTTTGAGTTATTAAGGGGTACTTATCGAAATGTGGAATAATTACATTAGTTAAATCTTTTATATTAGTCACTGAATACGAGATTGAACCATCTTTACTTATTCGGATATTACCTACTCCAAAAAAGGCTTTTATTTGTTCTAATAATTCTCGATCTGTAAAGCTTAAATGTATTTGAAAAAATAAACTAACATTTCAACCGACACGGAGAGAAGGGTTCTTGCAAATACTTATAGAAAAAGAGGATTCACCGTCACAGAAACCAGTAACTCAGTAAGGTTCACAGACCTTCCCGCCCTTATTAATGCTGGCTAATGAACTAAATTTTCTTATTCCCCAATGTCTATTCAAATATTTCATTTTATGTTTATAGACAAATGAATTATAACTAATATCACGATTATTTTTATAATCATACGCTGGGTTTACTTGAAACCCATTATGCGTAATTAACTGGTATTTTTTAAATATTAAAAAATTAAAACTTATACCTAAATAACCTAATAAATCTACGAAAAATTCCCATTCTCGCATAGAGTTCGTTACATTAAAAGGCCAGATTTTACATAAAACAACAACAGCCTTATCATATAAAAACCCGTCTCCCATTATTCAATGAGCTAACCCCCTAGGTGTTAGTAGCTCATGAATATTTAAAGGTACAACTTTTGTTTTATTTTTGTAAAATAAATCATGGTATTTATTTAAACAAGAAAAATTCAATGTTCTAAAATACATAGACTTATAGACTTTACCTGTTCTTTGGTCAGGTTTTCTTACACTAATAACAGGTTCCATAGCTATTAAAGGGCTGAATAAAGCATATAAACTTAATACATATGCCTCTTGTGCCGGAAAAGTGTGGTCTATTCTAAGCCTTGTATTATGATTAGGTTTTACCCTCTCTAAAAAAGCATCTGCTAAAATTAAACCTATAAGACTTTCTTTTTGCTCATTTGTTAATTCATACTCTTTTTTATATTTATTAGAGTATTTCTTTCGAAATATTTTAATAAGGAATTAACCTACTTTTTTTGTAAAAATATACCTGTTTCTAAAGGGTTTCTGTTGATTTTTAGAAAGAAATCTAGAAATACTGGTTTGACGTATATTTAAAGCTCTAGCTGCTGCATTAACAGAATCGAAAAGAGAGAATTTATTTTTTTCTTTATCAAAAACTTCTATTTTGTGTGACGGTTTGCCAGCTCCTTCGTGTCTTGGCTTACAAAAGTTAGGATGATTCTCTCCTTTCATAGCATCAGATATTTTTTGTTTAGATTCCTCCGAATGCTTTCTACCTAAAAAATAGAGCCAG